AGGATATATGACAGGACAGATACAAAGAATAAAACAATTCAAGTATGCTTTATCCAGCCTTCCTTAACCTAGATTCCTGTTTCCTAGATGTGTTGGCTATTGACCATACTGGCTGGAGTTTTTGAAATCTATAGTCCAACTAATCTGGAAACCATCTTTGATGGAAACTTTACATGTCATTATTCTTTTCAGGTTAGTCGTTTGTTTCTGCCTACCTGAGGGCTGACAATATGTCCATATGGGATTCACATTATAGTTGCCACTAAGAGAACACCAGAGCTTCCCATTAGAATCTCCAGCTGTTGTGCAAGATGAATAGGAGACTCCATTGTAGAGGAACGGGAACACACATGGTCCTTTAGGTTTTGCATTAAGCCCTGAAAGAGCAGAGATAAGAGATGAGGATGTGTTGCAAAAAGCTTCTAAAAGGAGAATTATTCACCTAAGAAAAATGAAAAGGAATCAGCATGATGTTTCCTTGCAGAAGGAATCTGTGTGAAGCTGTTCCTGCCAGGTGAAAACAGCAAAAGAGAAGGAGGTAACTGTCTTCCTACTAAAAGGTAAAATATCCTAAATGAAGACTGACCAAAGGGGAGGCAGTTTTATATAGCACTTTATTCTCTCTTGCTATACAATTCTAGTATTTGGGGGGATACAAAAGGAGGTAGCACATCAGAATGAATACAGAGGCACTAGAACAGTGCTCTCAACCTTGGCAACTTTAAGATGTGTGGACTTCAATTCCCAGAATTCCCCAGCCAGCATCTGGGAGTCGATACATCTTAAAGTTGCTAGGGTTGAGAAACCCTGCTATTCAGACATCTGAGCTGTCCAGAATCAGTCTGAGAAAATTGGTTGATCTCTTTTTCCTTTTTAGAACATGGTCAGACTACCATAAATCAAGCCCAGTGGTTAACAGTGTAGATTTTTATAGTCTTGTTAATAAGATATACAGCATTGGTACGTTAGCCAGTGTGAACTGGATCCCTACAAGTATTATGAAGGTTGATCAGGTTCACTCTGAGTGACTCTGTATCCCTTTTCTCTCATTTAAGAGCAGAGATGGACTCTGCTTGACCTCACACAATGGCTGGCCTGCAGGACGGAGTTCCTGATATAATGAAGAACAAAAAGTATCGTTGGATTCACCTTTTGCAACTTCTGTGGGATCTGCCTGGCATGTAAATACTCTTCCCTGAATTTTCACAGTGGTTCTTTTATGAAAAAGACTATTTTTTGAATCACAACATATTCTTCCCTAATCCCAGATCATCATACATTTTAAGCTTTCTCTTCAGCAATTGTTTTCTACCCATTTTTACTCCATTTTATGACATAAAGTTTCTATGCAAATCCATAGCAAATGAGATGGTAGAACAATCAAAAGTTTAGATTAAAACCAGAGAGGCCCCATTACAAATCTCCATTCAGCTGTAAAACATACTGGGTGATTAATGACTCTCCTTCACACAAACACAGCCTCACCTCATGTGGTTGTTGTGAGAATAAATTGGGAGGAGTGGCAAATATCTGTCTAAGATTCCTTGCAAACAGAGATGCAAATGTCCCAAATTCTGATGAGCTCTCTAAATGGCTGTCTTCCAATTATCTTACTTGTATCAGCGCAGTAACTCCATTTCTTATCTGCATCGTAGGACCCTGTTGTGGCACACCAGAAATTCCAATCAGTTGTTCCTTCAGTAGTGCAGGTAAAGAATATCCGGTTGTTGTAGGTGAATGGAAAGACACAAGCCTTCCCATTGAAATTCCCTTCATATTCTGTAGGTATAGGGCACACAAAAATCAAGATGAGCAATCTTATATAAAGCCAGTAGTGTTCATTACATCTGACTGATCATGGATGGGTTACATTTTCCTTCAGCCCTTCCAAGTACTATACATGGTCCTCTCCCCCACCAGTCTAGGCAAGAGAGAAGCTAAACTGAGAAATAGTGTCAGGCCTCAAATCATCCAGTGCAGATTTGAGGTTGGGCCTCCCCAGTCCTACTCATTATTCTAATCTTCCATATCTAGAATTTAGAGGTACACACAGAACAGACAATGTGCTTTGTTCCCTGGATGGAATAAGCACATCATGCTTCCTAAATTCTGTTGCTTCATTCCAGGACAACCACTTTCTACAAAGAGCAGAATTCATAACTGTTTCATGCTTTGGCTTCCATCAATCCATAAACCAGGGCAGATCAAATTCCAGATGTAGAAAACCATGGGATTTTGAAGTTACAGAGGTCTGCAGGAATCAGTAGACATATTTAAAGAAAGATGTACTTGTTCTTTTTCTTTTAGGCAGCCAGACACTATTTTCAATTTCTGTGGAAAGGGGAAAGGGAAAGAAGACTTGCTGCCAGGCTGCCAACCATCCCAAAAGTAACAGGGAAAGCTCTCTGCACGGGACTAAGGGGAAAAATTATTTGTCACTTGTGGGGAGTTTTTCTCCCTTAGTCCCTGAGGGGCTACCCTCAGCAAGTATTAATGGAGAAAAATTATCTGTCCCTTTCAAAGAGTCTTTTCCAACTCTTTGCAATGAAATAAGAGGTGGAAGGGAACGTCTCTATCCCTCGTGGAGAAGGTGGGTTTTGTTTTTTTGTTGGTTTCTTTTTCTTTTTCTTTTTTTAGCTTTTTATCCCACCTTTTTTTCATATATAACTCAAGGTGGCAAACATACCAATGCCCCTTCCTCCTCCTACTTTCCCACAACAATAATCCTGTGAGGTGAGCTGGGCTGAGAGAGAGAGAGGGACTGGCCCAAAGTCACCAGAAGGTTTTTCATGCCTAAGATGTGACTAGAACTCAGAGTCTCCTGGTTTCTAGGCCAACACTTTACCCACTACACCAAACCCACTCTCTTTTTCCCCTTTAGTCGTCAAAGAACCCAAGAGTGGGGGCAGGGATGATCTAATGTACTGTATGTCTGGGGGTGAGTAATCCATGCCCTCCCTAGGAGTAAAGATTTATGAAAAACCAGCAAGGCAGGAAATGGGCTTCTAGGAAACAGCTATTTGTCCCCTATCCCACAACTAATCACTTGACTCAGTGGGAGCAGAAAACTGCTGTCTCATTTCTAATGGCAACAGGAGACCAACTATGGCTAATGAACTTCTGGGATGACAGAGGAAGTAGCAATGTCTCCTTTCATGCCAGCAGTTATGCTCATGATTGATGGGAGTTGGACCACTGAGGGAGCATAGGGATGATGTAGACATGACTAAAGCCCAAAATATTGTTCATTCATGTTCTTAATGCTATGTGGAACAATAGTGAAAATCAGCTTTTCAGTAAGCAGACCATAAGGAGAACTGCATCTACCTGGTATCATCTAACTCTTACAAGACAGACGTTGAAGGCAATGGTACTGTAAGTGCAGGCAAATCTGAGAGGAGGAGGGATTTAGAAAAAAAACTGGTCCTAAGCTGTATCAAGCTGTAAAGCTCATAATCTTTAAAAATAGCTGGCATAATTTACAAGGAGTTCAGACAGGGAGTTTACAAGGAGATTCTTACCACCACCAGATCACTTACCTTCATGGGCACATACTTTCCACTTACTGTCCCTGTCATAATTAGTGGTTGTGGCACACCACAGTAGGCTATCAGTAGTACCATCACTGGTACAGGCAGAGTAGGACTTTTTGTTGTAAATGAAGGGGAAAGTGCAGGGGAGAGATTCTGCAGAGGAACCAAAAATTAGAGGAAGAGAGAATTAAAAGAAGTTCTGTTAAGGAGAATCAATACAAAGGACAGTTGAAGCTTACTTCGGCTACACAAGGTTCATTCTTATAAAAAACCATTTCAACAGCAAGTAATAAAACTCCATGTACACAATAGTATGATCAAAGCACTGCATGAATCCTGCATGCATATCTGGGATGTTTGGTTGAGTTCAGATCAGTTCCACAGGAATGTCACATCCGTTTGATCAAATTGCAACATTTTTTTTTTAAACAAATGAAAAACATTCACAGCCATTATACATGTTCTGAATGTCTTTTTCCACAAGGTATATGTTTTTAATAATAATTCATCTTACATAACTTTGGGTTTGGGTCCACAAATATTCTTTGATTTTTAAACCAAATGTTTAGGCAACTTAGCTTATTCCATAGGGTTTTCTACACAATGCTCCATAAGAGGTGCTTGATTTTATAATGTACACTAATGCACATTTTTATCTACTGTTCTTTAATCTGGGGAACTTCATGTAACTTTCTCCCAACCCACTAATTTCTGTGTACCATAGCAGACACTGTTTATTTCTCTTGCTAAACTACAGTAAAGCCTACTTAGGTGAATCAAGATATTAAACTGTAATGTGCATATACATATTATACTGCACTAATATGGCATTTTTCATAATACTTGGATACCAGAATAAATATTCAGCCACGCCCTCCCAACTTACAAACCAGACAAATATTCTTGTGGCTGTGGGTTTTTTCTTGTTTAATCTTATATGTTTTGAAGCTTAATACCAAATAAGGGTTTTTGAAAATTGCTCAGAATCAATCAATTGGAGCAGCACTGAACGATGAATAATAAATAATAAGAAATATTGAATCATTAAATTCTAAAAGAGTGCTAAGAGCTGCATTGGTTTTAATTTCAGCTCCTGGAATTGCATACAGATTTATATTTTCTAAGTTGTGGGATAGAAGAGGCTTATGTTTCTTATCATGTTCAGTTTTGTGAAAATATTATTCTAAACAAAAGACCCAGAGAACAAAAAATATGTTTCATACAACTGCTGGCCAATCAACCTATTTTCCTGTCAATATACTGAACTTCCAAAATATTTGTTAGTAGAACTCCAAAAAAGGGTCCCATCTTATCATCCTTTTCCATACCTGAAGGTTTACAATAAGTCCATTTTGGGTTTACATCATAGTTGCTGGTAAGAGAGCACCAAAGCTTTCCCTCAGAAGACCCAGCTGTTGTGCATGACGAGTAGGACTTTCCCTTGTAGGTGAAAGGAAAAACACATGGCCCCTGAGAATTTGCAGCTAGTCCTGAAGGTAATGAAAGAGAAGCAAAGAAAGGAGCAGAAATCTATATGACAAGAATATTCTAAGATCTTATATCTATTCATTCATTCATTCATTCATTCATTCATTCATTCTACTGTACTACACTGACTGAGTTCACTTATCAAGTTAAGCCATTGTGCAAATTGACTAGATTTGTTTTTATTTTGTTTTGTTTTTGCTTATAGGCATTTTCACTTGTTTTTCATTAAAAGTCAGCCCAAATCAGGGTATGGTAAAACAAATGAATAACAGCGTGTAAGATTGTCAAAGTTAATGCCATAATCAGCACCATAACAACAATGTGACAGCAAACCAAAATCTCAGCCAAAAAACCTAGATATATAGGTAGGCTACAAAAAATAACAGAACTCTGGTCAGCTTTGATTGCACCATGTGAAAATGCTGAAAGAAAATAGGAGCACACACTTCTTAGAGTTTTCATTTAATCTGGCATATTGTGTGATCTGAACTTTGTAATTTGTAACTATCATTTTGTTGCTTAATTATTCTGCAAATCCAGTCAACTGAAATTCATTCAATAAACAAATAGGCAATTGCTTTCCTGACATGGAAAGTTGGGAGGGCCCAGAAATAGGGGAATTAGCTCCTTGAGCCCCATATTACTTTCCCATGGTTCTCCATAAAGTCTTCAAAGCTTGCTGCCTAATATCATTTCACTGAAGATGTCAAGAGCTAAGGGCAACCACTGGGGGACAAGGGAGAACAAACAGCAAACATACATCGCAATATCACAACACAAACTCTGCCCTTTTGTACTTATATCATGAAACTGCATGCAGGTATGTAAGAGGCGGAACTTGTACCATGACATGACAATGCATGCTTTGTCATTCTGATGCTCCTATCAAGAGCAGAACTTGGCCATTTCACTACAAGTCAGGTGTTTTACCACAGAGCAATATTCCCCATCCACTCTCTGCCTGGCACTTTTTCTGCATTGTATGATCCTATATCCTGGTTTCTGCTTTCACTCACAACCATATATCCACTTTCTCCCAATCCTTAGCCTATCAATAAATTTGGTTATCCCAGTCATAACACTGAATTTAAGTCTCTATAACCTTCTTACTGGTATCAGCGCAGTAGCTCCATTTCTTGTCCTTAGAATAGCTCCCTGTGGTGGCACACCAAAAATTCCCATGCTCATCATCTTCATTTGTACAACTATAGAAAGTCCTGTTCTTGTAAGCAAAGGGAAAGGCACAGGCTTTTCCATCAGAATTACCTCCATGTTCTAGAAGCAGACAGAAGTTCAAGATTATATACATCAGTGTACATTTGGTTCATTTTAGTTTTAATTCTGGTAGACAATGATGGGAGTTGTGGCTCAACACATCTGAGGAACAGGAAGTCAGATTGTCAAAGACTTCAATGTTATATTTTCAATGCACTCAAATTAGAAATATTATTTGCAAGATAAAAATAGATTATACAGTATTGCATTTATCTTCATGCAGGGTTTCAGATCATTTTGAGGGAAGATTCATTCAGCAAGACTCTTTAATCTTTGTTCTCATGTCTAACTACAAGGTCATTATTATTCCATCATGAGGCTCCTAAGATAGATAGAGATAGAGACAGAGTCAGAGTCAGAGGTAATCTTTGTTTAATGACCACTCGTTCAGCGACCATTAGAAATTAAGATGGTGCTGAGTGAGGAGACTTATGACTGTTCCTTGTAGTTGTGGTCATCACTGCATCCCCACAATCACGTGATCATGATTCAGGTGCTTGGCAATCAGCTTGCAATTACAATGGTCACAGCATTCCACAGTCACATGATCACCACTTGCAAACTTCACTCTCAGCTTCCAACAAGCAAACTCAGTGGGGAAGCCAGCAGAAGGTTGCAAATGGTGATCATGTAATGTCATGCTTAACGACCATGTGGGATTTGCTTAACAACTGCAACTGGAACTGCCACAATTGCCATTGTAAGTCAGCATGGACATGTGACATTGTGCTTTATGACCACCTCCTTTAGTGATGGAGTTTCCAGTCCAATTACCATCGTTAAGTGAGGACTACTGACAGAGACAGAGGAGACAGAGATATCCATCACGCTATTCCCTTTCAAGGTAAGCAATTATATGCACACTGCAGGAAAGGAGTAAGAAATATTTTCTTGCATACCACCTAGCTGGGGGAAAAGAGTGACCCATTTGGAAGGACAAACCAGATGTTACCAAGAAAAAATTCCAGCACTTGACCAAAGTGCTGGAATTCCAAGAGGAAAATAGTAAATAAGTGTGAATCAGGGAAGGAGAGAGCAAGTGAGACAGTTAAACTATAAAAAAAATGCGTACAAATGCATCTAGTAGTTTGTGAAGCTAAGGCCACTGTAAAAAGAAAACACAAATTATTTACTTGAAAAATGCTGTACAATAAATATTACATTCATTTGGAGAAGTAACTATGTATATCAGGGTAAGTTCCTGTCCCTTTTCTACTCTCCCCCCTCTTCCTTTCAGCCTATATGCTTATCCCTCATATATTTGTTTGCAATTTGATCTTCCTTCATTCTCTCTACTACAACAAAATTGCCCAAATGTACTTCTTTCATCCTGGTTGCTCACTTTTGAATACGGCTGGTTTAAGGGAGTCAGAGATTATGCAGCTGAACGGGGCTCAGAAAAGTAGGTGACCCTCAAGCTGGAGATCCCCATCTTCCCATTTAATCCTTCTGCCCAAAATGTCTATAATAAACAGTATGGTGTCATTTGCCCTCCCTTATGCAAGCCTATCCCTCCTTCTCTGCAGTTTGACAATTGCAACAGTCCCCTGCCTGCAGGAGCGGAGGATCTCTTCTGTTCACTCCACCTGCTCCAATGCTGGCTGAGCCAGCAGCTGCACACGCTCCTGCCTCCTTCTCAGTGCAGTCTGAATGCACCAATACAAGCAGCAGCAGAGGAGGAAAGGAGGGGATTGCAAGCAACAAGGATGGTTACTGCAGAGACTGAAGACAGCAAGAGAAAAACTGAGGAATTCAAGAGACACACTCTGTCAGCCTGCTGAACTGTGTTTCCAGAATCCAGCCTGCTCACCCAGGTCCTGGGGCTGCAACCAACCCAATCAGCACCAAACCAGTGTACAGCCATGCCGTTGTCTAGGCCAGACCCCTCCTCCTGTGTCTGATGATTGAGGAGAATTTGAGAAGCACGCTGCTTTGCCACTCTCAGGCCCCTGCCTTTGACAGAGGTTGGGCAAAGGGGGCAGTTCTGCTTCGAGACAGCTCAATGGTACCAGGACAGAAGTTCCCCTCCTACCATCCCATCTGCCACCTGCCATTCCAGAAGAGGGAATGAGAGGGAGAACTGTAAGGGAGAGTGGACATTACTGGAGAGTGTGAACAGGGATGTCAAAAGGGATGTTCCGTCATCTGGCCTGAAGAGATAAATAGCTGTCTGTTGCTATCGAACTACATTTTGACAATATGCACTCAGAATTTGCCTGGGTGAGCCTGTTTCAGTAGCTTGAGCAGCACATTTTTTTTTCCAAACTGAAACTAGAGAAAGGCTATTTCAGCTTCACAGTGAGTCAAGATCCAATAGTTGCTCTGGCAAAACATTGCAGCTGAAAGCATGTTGCTGAATCTTTGAACTGATCAACCTGTAACAATATTTGCAGGGCAGGAAAAAAGGAAAGCAACATTTCAAAAATAAATGTTTGAGAAACCATGCCTCTCTCAATAGGTGAAAATTAAAAAAAAAAAAAGTATTTAAATTTGTATCCAGTATGTTTCTTCTAGATGTGATTTTGTGCCATCAAGTTAGTGTTGATTCGTAGCAACCAAATAGACTTTCTCCAGGATGACCTAGCCTCAACCTGGCCCTTCAGATCACTCAACAGTGCACCCATGGCCCTCTTCTCTTTCCCTCCATATTTGTCTTTCCTCTCTAGACATAAAGCACAAGGTTTCACAGTTTTTCAAGGCCTCCTAGAAACCTAGACAGTGAGTTCAGAAAGTAAATGCAAATCAATATTGTGAAATAGTTTTTTTTAATCTTTGAGAGTGATTTCTAATGAGATAGTGCATTAATCACCTTGAGTGGAACAGTATTTCCATTGTTGTACTTCATCATAGTTCGAGGTGGTGGCACACCAGGGCTGGTTATTTTCAGAATCATTTGTAATGCAGGAAGAATATGAATTCTGCTTGTAAATAAATGGGAAGACACAAGGAGCTGAAACAGAAATAAGAGACAATAATGTAAAACAAAAGCTACAATCTACTAAGACTTGGGAATAAGCCACATTTTACTCAGTTGGATTTCCCTTAAATATATCTGTACAGGACTGCTGTATACTGTAGGTAGAAATGGCAGGAACAAGGGAATAGTAAAATTACATAGTTTTGCATCCTGGAGCACTTGCAAGAAGTATCAGATTAGGTATTAATGACTGATCCAACTAAGGTTTCTATTCCTCTACTGAATGGAAGTCTTCCCAAGATGGCTTTCCAATAGATTAAAAAAAAAATCAAAACCTAAACATTCACCCTTATGCACACCCAACTCTCATCCCTTAGTCCGTGGCCCAGTGGCACATCCCACAGTTTCCAACCAACACGTTTGAAGCAGAAAACTAGATCAGAATATGTGCCTCTTTAATTCCAGCAAAGCTGTCTTGAAGAAGCAAGTTCTTTGTAGCTCCTCCTTCCTGATTAATGGCTACATCCAGATTGGTCTTTCTGTTGCTTTTATTAATAGCTGTATAGTTATGCTTGTGATGCCATAAAATGTCACGTTGTAATTACACTAACATCTGATTGGCTCAACTTTGTGAGGTCAGTGAATAAGCTGGGAACTGCTTACAAAATCAAAAACTAACAAGTATGCAGGCATTAGTCTCTTGGCAGCTGCCTAAAACTGAAAGTGATGCTTTTCCAAGCATGATTCTCATACCCTTTAGCAAAATGTATTAAGAATGGGATGAGATTACTAGAATTTCAGTAACTGAACTATTTTCAGGTTAGAATCAATAGATCCCTCTATGCATTAAGGGAGAGACTTTCTAGTTCTTTTTCTAATTGACTAATCAGCAAAGGAAGGCAGATCCTTCACTGATAACAGAGAAGTTTGCAGCTGGTTGTTTACAAAATGGTCTTTTGGAGTTCTGTCAGTCTGTGAACCAACTCTTGCATCACATTTCCTTCAGAATTTTCAAGAGCCAGTGCCAGCTTGGTAATGGTACATTTCCCCAGGTGTTCATAGATAAATGAGTGGGCTTGGCTGGAAGAGGGCAATGCTCTGTCCTTCTGGCTTTTGAGCCCTACATCAGCTGCGATACCAATGCAGTGGGGGAGAAGTAATGTAACGATGATCCTGAGAGTCATTTTAGCAGTGACCAGGGACCTTGCTGTAATGTAGTGGACTATGAGAATTGATATGTGATGTTGGGATATAGAAACAAGTTAGGGATACTGCTGGTGCATGGCAGGGTGCTTTCTTTAGTTCCTGGAACTCATCACAGGACTAGTTTTGTCATCTCCCTAGCTCTTGGTGCTGGGGGGGTGCTTTCAATCTCTATGCTTGTGGGGGCTTCCAAGGGTCTCAAGGACTCATAACTCCTATGCAACCATGGGCTTATGTGAGCTTTAGTTACTCAGGTAATTGTTAGATTTGGTCTTCACCTTAGAGCAGTTGGTAACTGATCTGAAGATGAGGAATATTATTGTGAGTCCTTTGCCATGATCAGACCATCTCTTGACACTTGAGAATAGTCACTACTCCAAATCTCCAAAGGATGAGTGAACCCACTAAGATGGTCCATCCCAGGTATCTTTTTGACCCTACTGAATTCCAGTGGATCCTTGGAGATTTCCCCAGCAATCTGGTAGGCAGTTCTCTCAAGTGCTCAGTGGACCTCTGGAATATAGTACTGAGATAACCAGAGTACTTGATTGGATTACTCCTGAGCTCCCAGGTCTGGTGGGGGAGGGAGTGTTGGTTTGCCAAGGAACTAGGGGAGATGAAATGGCAGAAGAGATGCCTAAAATGTTTGCAGAGGAAGACTGAAAGTAAATTTGACCATACAGAGGTCTGAGCTCACATTTATACCTACACTGTAGTGATAAGGGTGGTAAAGCATTCATAGATATAGATATAGATATAGATATAGATATAGATATAGATATAGATATAGATATAGATATAGATATCTCAGAATTATGCTCTGGTCAGGAGCTAGGATGGATTAAGGCGCGGCTGGATAGCGTAGCAGTTAGAACACCGCCTTTGATGCAGGAGACCGGGGTTCAAATCCCGGCTGGTACCTAACTTACCAGTAGGGGTCCTTGGGCAAAGACCCCCT